AATATGTAGATGTTGTAGAAGCAATTGGTGTGTAAGGATTACAGCTTATACCAGTTTGGATTGATGGCAGTTGTTGTCATGAGGTTTGTTTAAAAAAAACTGATTGGAACACAAACTTCATATTAACACCAATTTCACCAACCACCATTCACATTTTGCTCTGTTAAGTTTTAAACAAATGCTCCTGTTGGAACCTATTCTGTGTCACATTTGAAGCTTGCTCAGGCCATCACCTACCTTCAAATGCACATATCTTAATCTTTTGAATTCCATTTGCACTTCAAAAACTTGGCTTGCATTAATAACTGATACTTGAAAGAGTTTAGGCTGGTTTTCTTGATTGTGATCTTTGTCATTGCTTGATGTTTTGGTAACTGTCATGAAGGATTTGGCGCTTGATGTTTAGTATGGTAATGATCAAACTTTCACTTTCATTTGAGGAATTTGTAACTGTCTTACTTGAAGTTTTGTGAATCTAACTAACCTATATGTGTGCATTGGTGGCTGTCTTGAGGTTATTAAGTTTGCATCATGTTGTCAATATGAATTGTTGCTTCTGTTAACAAGAATAGCCTGGTGTAGTTGGATTTTATTTTGGTTTTTAACTTACTGTTGGAGCCATGATTGGAATTCATCAATGGATATTGATTGAAATACCAAGAGCTAATTGTCAACAGCTGCTATGAGTTTGTTAATTTACAATGTCATCAAGTGTTCACTGTCAATCATTACAAATGTGTGAATAGGAGTTCATGACCAATGGCAGTTTGGTTAATGAACATTGTCTTGCCTTGAAGTTGTTTGTTTTAACATAGTCTAGATGCAAGGTTCCCTCTTTAGAAAAAACAATTTCACCATTTGCAGTTTAACAGCCACATTGTAATTCTTTTGAGAAACTAAACTTTTCCTTTGAAACTCATCACAATTTTTACATTTAGAATTGGAACAACCCCTTACTTGTATGAGATTACAGCTAGGTTGATCTATGATCTTCAAAATGCATTTCAAGCCTCATTATGCATGTTCATTCAAATTATTTTGTGTGTGTGCATCTTTTGAAGAAATGGACCACACCATCTTATTCCTCATAAAAAATAATCAGTTTAGACTTTTATTTTGCTAAAATTGGTTAAGTATTGAAGATTTGTAGATCAAATCGTTTCTTAGTTTTCACTTGGTTGTTCTTGTTTTGCCCAGAAAATTATGCTTTGTCAAGTATATGTTTAACTGGGGTGGCTTGATACATTAGATGTATCGCCACCTCAGTGGTTATTGCCTTGCCTTTGCATTATGAGAAAATGACGATTCGTTTTAGGATTTTTACCCTTCTATCTCTCATTCCTTCATTTCAAAACTGTGACTTTATTCCTCTTTGAGTTTTATTTGAAGATGACATGAGCATAGATTGTTAGCTCCCTTGTGCATTTAAGTTTGAATTTCAACTTTTCTTGTATGCATTTAAGTGGTTCACCTTTAAAAACTTTTGATTGTCCCCATGAGGTTTTGAACCTTTTTGCTTACATTGTTGTGACATTATTGGATTATGTATGATATCCTTTACCTTTACCCTTTATCCTAGCCTTAGGATCTGAGTCTTCGTACTCATGTTTAGCGTCCCGCCGTGGACAATTCTCTACCATAACAATCTCAACGTATATTCAGGAGTCGTCGCACTCCATGTAAGTACTTCCCTATGAATGCTTACATTCCCTTTGGAATTTTGACCACAGTCAAGAGTTCCTCACCCCTAGTTAGGGGAACTACGAACACTCTGATTTCTCGTTAAGAATACGTAGGCACAAGATGTGATTTCTTGGCGAGCTCACTAACAACTAGTGTTAACATTTGCAACTTAGGATTGGAGTCGTTGTGCTCTATTTAGTCGTCCCGTCGTGGACATTCTCTTCCTTGCTAACTTAACTTAGTTTAGAGTCACCGCACTTTATGTAGGTGTCTCACTGTAGACATTTACTTGCCCCCTAGAACCTTGACCACATTCAAGAGTTCCTCACCCCTAGTTAGGGGAACTACGGTTTCTCTGATTCCGTTCCCGTCAGGATACGTAGGCACGAGATGCGATTTCTTGGCGAGCAAACTTTATATACTTTATATCTTTACCCTTAGCACTTTCCCTTTAGCAATCAACTTTAGCATCACACAAATACTAACAAGAGGTTCCTGTAGAGTACTTCAGATGTTTAGGATGTGAAATACCTACCCTAGGCATAACCAACCCCTGAACCTTTAGATCTCTTAGCTTCATTGTTACGTAGCGCAAAAGGTTTTTCTTTCTTTAAGTCTTTCCTTTGGATAAATTAAAGTCCGGTTGTGAATTTAAGAATTAAGATTCAAGTTAATCAATAGCTTGGTATCATGATTCTCACCGCAACAATGAGAGAATGTGTCAGTTGCGTTATCTGACTCTATCATGGGGCGACTAGTTGCGACCCTACGTATGCTAAAATCGCAAGTCATTTGGAGGATCGGGAAAATCCAATGTTGTATTTTGGATCAAACCATGTGATCACTTTAAAGATGATAAACTGGCCCAGATGGGAATTCGGCTAGTCGAGCCAATTAATGCCAACAAATATTATTGGGTGGCCGCTTAATTGTTAGGAACTCCTTCCATTTTAAACATTGTTGCGGCTATAACCGATGTTGCTATTATGGTCGGATGCCTCTTAGATTCATAAATTTTATAAATGAATTTCATTGTTCAGAAAATATATCATCCGATTATTTTAATTGAATATTACAAATTTATTTAAATTTTATAAATAAATAAATAAACTACCAACGGAAGAAAAAAATCTTAATTGAATAATAAGAACTTATATTAAGGTTTTCTTTATTATCCCTTAAAATCTCAATTCCGTACACACCCCTTTAACATTGAAAATTTTGAACATTGTTAATCAAAAATTTTGCTAGACAAAAAACAGCCTAAGAGATTTAGAAGAAGAATAAGTTTCTAAACCAAACTTGAGAGATCAAATGTGAAGGTAAACTTGATCCCAAGAGTAGAAATAAAAAATTACATTATGGAATTCCTTATCACAGAATTCCTTTTGCCTCATCCTATGATGATTCTTCTACTCTCAATACTTGTCAATCGCAACTACACAAAGTCTTGAAATGAGCTTCAAAATCTTGCTTAATATGTAAAGTTGTAAACTGAAATTGAAACTATTGTAAGCATGTTGTTACAAATAAATTCGGAGTTGTCAGGTGAGAATTGAAACTTGACTTTGAAGAGTAGAGAGCAAATGTTGAAGCCATCAATCACTCTTTGGAGATTTAACCTCCTAGTCTCCAACTCAACTCTCGCTTTGTTGCTTCGTATGCATACGTCAATGGTGTCAATTAAGTATTTAAATATAAAACTAAATTAAATCTTTCTTTGGTCTTGTCCCTTTAAAAATTAGAGCTATCAATTTATATTTTGCAGCACATACACATAATGAAACCCTGCAATTCATTTGTCATTTAGAATCCAAACTTAATATTATAAATATCGTGATCAAATGCAATCAGCTGATCCAATTTTGGTTCGGCAATGGGCAGTAAATATAGTTAGCACCAAGAATCCAGTCTTTTGGATCAGTGTTGGAAAGGATTCGCAAGATGTTCAAAATAACTAAAAGCAAATTATGGGAAAATAATCAAGGAACTACGGAAAAACCAATATAAAACTAAGATTAAATGCACTGAATGTTCTACTAAAAAGGGAACCCTATCAGCCTCCTTATGCTTCACAGCTTGAACTCCTGAGGCGATTGTAGTTTTCCTTATCCTGCAGACACAACTGAGAGTTACTTACATCATTCATTTCACCAAAAGAGTTACTTACATCATTCATTTCACCAACCATACATCATTCATTTCACCAAAAGAGTTACTTACATCATTCATTTCACCAAAAGAGTTACTTACATCATTCATTTCACCAACCACACGGACTCATGTCGACACCAATTGTAATTTGAAAAAATAAATAAATTGAACGAAATCACAAGTGTCGTATCGGTGTACAACACTGACACGCCTTTTTTTTAGAGGTGTCGGTGCTACAGAGCATTTCACACACTTTGCTCAAGACACGGATTTCAAATCCTTTATCATATGATACAATTTCTCTTGGCATTCAATCTCAGCAATCAAGTAATTAAAGTATCAACTCAAAGTAAAGAACAATCGATTCAAAAAAACTTTGCAGATGCGAAACAGTCAACATCTAAAACAGACAAAATAAAGATAAACAACATTATACATTATATAGAAATAGCCAGTCATTACACAAGCCCCTGAGGCATACGCAGCAAACAGATAGGTCACTAAGAACAGTGTTATCAAATTGCGGCGCCATGGCCAATATACATGGCAGTTTTTGGGGTTTCCGCAACAGTAAATATCATCCGCTATTGCGCGTTTTTCCGCCATAATTCGCAATAACAGCGCCGCAAAGCGGCCGGTATGGCGGGATTTTGGCTCTCCGCCATTGACAACACTGACCAAGAAAATGATTATACATAATCTCTTGTACATGTATCAATGCAGTAACTGCATGTTAATGTTTACAATATATAGTAACTGCAGTTGTCAATTGATGAGTGATAACATCTTATTGTTGCAAATATGTTTATTTAGAAAAAGCAGTCGATTTAAAACAATAATGCATTTCTATCGCTAACTTATCATTGTGATTTTACAGAAAAACTCAACATCAAAAGCAATACAATTTCGACCAAACAAAACCAATATTATAAATCAAAACCAACGGAGAGAAAGTCACCAACTAATCATAACTAAGAGCAAACTAAAACCACGCAATGTACTCACACATGCAAACTATCTTCTCTATTGTTAATCATACAAAAATCTCTCTGCATGTAAATCCATTGCGCAGAGAAAACCATAAACTAACGAATATACTGCAAAATCACTTTATTCATATTAAGCCCTTAAATTAGTGTTATAGTGAAGAAAAATAACTTTACCTATCCAGATCCGACGATGATGTTGTTGATTGGAATGAAAATAAGCTTGACGAAAAAGCCAACAAATCCCATCACAACAAAACCAATCGCAGTTCGCACAGCAACCTTCGAGAATTCTACAAAATTCGAAATGCATGATAAGAACCAAGATCCATAGCACAGACATTCAAATCAAGAGATTTAGAGATTAACCTTTGCGATCAGGTTTGTGGCAGCGCTTAACGAGCCTGACGCTGTCCTTAGCGAATTCTCTGAGTGGGTCGAAGACAGAATCAATGGCGTCCATTTTCCCTAATTCTCTTTCTATTTGGAGATTCGATCTGAGAAATGAAATAGAAGAAAAAATTTATGGATGATTAATTGAAACAAATTGCTGAAGACGCAAAAAATTCAGATCAGAATCAAAGAAAACAGATCCAATGATCGATTTAAAGAGAAGAAAAAACCCTAATAATCAAAGTGTGAAAAACAGTTTGAAATCAAAGTTGATCCATTGATCGATAAATCGAGAGCACGCAAAAAAGATTCTATCGATCGAAATCTTAGTGGAGAAGAGAAGAGGAGTAGAATATACCTTTGATTTTGTGAGCTGAGGATTTTTTTTTTCTCTCTATGCAATAAAACGAAAATCGCAGTAACGAGTGGAAATAGGATTTTGCAAAATCTGATGAAAAAATTCGATGGTTACTTAAGAGGGTGTCTATTATTTTAAGAATAAAAAATTATTATTAACTTAAAAAAAATTATTAAAATAAATAAAGAAATTAAATTAAAGAGCTTCAAAAAAAATTTTAAAATATGATATTAAATAAATAGAAATTAGTTTTAGTTTTTTCTTAAATATCTACATTTTTAAAGGTTTTTAAATATATATATATATATATATATATATATATATATATATATATATATATATATATATATATATATATATATATATATATATATATATATATGATTAGTCTATTTAAAAATCTTATTTATTTGAATAAGTAGTCTTATATTCATTTCAATCGACTAACAATAATTAAAAAGATAAATTGTAATTATGGTGAGAATAATAATGATGATTTTATCTCTAATAATAAGTTGATATTTTTATGATTCTGATGTGAAAAAAAAATGGTTTTTAACCTAGCCAATGAGGCAAAGTCTTTTCTCGACCTTGCTAAATGTTTAAAGTCTCAAGGTTTTATTTTTAGGCATGACTCATATGATTTTGCTTTTTCTTTGCGTCTAGTGCATGACTCGTCACTAAAAATATATTAAATTGTGACTAATAAAACATGTCAAGCCTCGAGACTATAATTTTGGTGACAAATTACCTGACCCCATTTCACTAGATAGCATGGTGGGTGACTCATTATCGAGGAAAAAGCAAAACCTGGTGAGTTCGCCCTTACCTTTGACATGTGTCTTACCTCGCCTAACCTCTTTATGTTCCTTTATGTGCATCTCGTGTGATGAGACGTGGATGGGTTGAGGTTGTTGATCATATATGGGTTTGGGTTATAATATAATAGTTCACAACCCTTAAGCACGAGGCTTGTAGGGTCAAAGTGGTTAAGGAAAGACATAATAAACATCAATCTCCCAAGCACGAGGCATTTGGGGGAGAAATGGTTAAGGAAATACATAACCATCCACAATCTCTCCAACATGATTAAATCGATTTAATAATGGTCCTTTGATTGGGCAGAAGTTGCTTCAACAGCAACTTGCTTGATAAATAGGTGTCCCTCGACTGCCTTAGGAATGAAGCCATCTAAAGAAGCTTGGTTGAGACATCCACCTAGTCTCGACAAACTGAGAGTATTTGGTTGTGTGGCCTATGCTCAAATTAGGCAAGACAAGATCGAACCTAGAGCTCTGAAATGCATGTGCATGGGATACCCTGAACGAGTCAAAGCTTATAGGCTATGGTGCCTAGAGCCAAGTCACAAGAGGTGTGTCACTAGTCGAGATGTAGTTTTCAATGAAGCAGAGATGGCTTTCAAGAAAACTGATGATGCTAACGAAGAGCTGGAACAAGGAGAGATTCCTGTTGAGGTGGAGCATGTTGATGTTGAATTGCGTACCCCAGATGAAGTCGAAGAAGACACAAAAGATGTTGTCGAAGATGAGGAGATTGATAATGACTACCTGCTAACAAGAGACAGGTCGAGGAGAGTCATCAAGCCACCTCAGAGACCTGGGTATGCAGATCGTATAGCTTATGCCTTAATCTTTGTAAGTGAGGTTCTAGACTAAGAACCTAGAGACTATAAGGAAGTTATGAGGAGTCAAAAAAAGACTGAATGGCTGAAGGTTATGGATGATAAGATAAAATCTCTTCATGATAACAATACCTGGGAATTAATCAAAAAACCTGCTAGAGTCAGGTTAGTCAGCTGTAAATTGATCGAAGGAGTGGCGTCGAAGAGATACAAGGCAAGATTGGTTGTTAGGGGGTTCACTAGAAAGAAGGTGTTAACTTTAATGATTTATTCTCTCATGTTGTGAAACATAGATCCATTCGAATGTTGCTTGCCACAATGGCACAGTTCGACCTTGAATTGGAAGAGATGGATGTGAAAACTGCGTTCTTGTATGGTGATTTTTAGATGAAACAATCCTGACAAGGAAAGCTGAAGGGTGTGTCAAAAAAGTGAAGGAAGATTATATGTGCAAGCTGAATAGATCTTTATATGAACTGAAACAATCTCCTCGATAATGGAATAGGATATTCAACAAGTACATGACACGCATAAGTTTCATCAGAAGTCAGTTCAACCACTGCGTTTACTTCAGATTTTGACCGGGTAATTCATTTGTTATTTTGTTGCTCTATGTGGATGATATTCTAATAGCAAGCAATAATGTCGAAGATGTAATGAGGGTGAAGGTTGAAATCAATAAGGAGTTCGACATGAAGGATCTGGAAGCTATGTCCAGGATTCTTGGGATTGATATCCGAAGAGATAGAAAGCAGACGAAATTATACTTATCTCAAGAGGCATACATACGGAAGGTTCTCGAAAAGTATGATATGTCGAATTGTGACTTTGACAAACCCTCAATTCAAGTTGAGTATAGATCAGTGTCCCAGCATTGATGTTGAAAGAACTTATATGAATAGCATTCCATATTCTAATATAATAGGTTCTTTGATGTATGTTATGGTTTGTACTAGACCCGACATAGCATATGCAGTAAGTTTTGTAAGCAGGTACATGGTGAATCCTGGAAAGGCTCACTGGCAAGCATTGAAGTGGATTCTAAGGTACATAAATGGGTCTCTGAATAGAGTCCTAATTTATGGTGGAGCCTTGGGTGAATATAGTAAAGCAGCAATCGAAGTTTGTTTACATGTTGCTGATATGATCACCAAGACATTGCCCAGTTGCAAGTTTTTCCATAATATGCAGTTGATAAAGCTGCATGAAGAAAGCTAGTTTCTTGATGTTATAGAGTTATATCCAAGGTGGATATTTGTGAGATGTTGGATCTAACTCTCTTATGGTTGAAGGGTAGCTTCTGGTTTGACAGGAATTAAGTATGAGGTCGAAGTATGTTTGCATGTTGCTGTCGGAGTAATGTGTGTTATAGTCGAAGTTTGTTCTAACATACATTAGTCAATATTGCTAGGGTTGTTATCATGTTGAATTAGGCCTTGCTTGTAAGCCCAATTGTTTAAGTTAGATTGTAATGGGTAATTGTTAAAAATCCCATTAGGCTAGTGTGCTATTTTTCTTATAAATGGGATGCTAGTTTCTCAATCTTAGCATAAGGAAAAATAGGAAGATAAAATACTAATTTTAAGAGAGAGAGGTTATTTTGTTATTCTTGTATATTTGTAATCTTGTTCTAAGAGTAAAGAAAGAATAACAGTTTATAACCAATCCTTGTTGTTCCTTGTTGTTTTACCTTGTTATCTTTGTTAACCCAAACCCTTGTGTGTTTTTTGATCATAAAGAAACCGTTTATATTTTGTTTCAAGGTATCTGACTCACAACATTGTATTTGCGATATTAATGGCTGAGATAATGACGTTACTTTGGTCTCTTCTTTCTCAGGAGCAGTGAGAAGCGCAACAAGATCATTGATGTCTTTGATAGATATGAACTAGGATCTTTTTTGAGATGAAGTAGTTCACGCTAACTCTTTATTCACAAACTAAGTGATGGTATATGTATTTTGAGGAGGCGATATCTTCCAATGGTAGTGAAGAATATGTTATCCTAGAACCATATGTGGAGGGTGGGAAGGCCTGCATAAAGCCAAGACAATGCTTCTTCACATTCTTCTATTTCATTTAAACTTCCTTCTCTTTTTATGTATGGCAATAAAAATGGAAGGCTCTGTCGCATGTGCACAAGAGGAAACAGGAGAGTGACAAAAAAGCTCCTTACTAGTTGATGAACTTCCTCAGTTGTGGTAGGACTACATATGTTAATTATGGACTGACATTTATCCAAGTTGGCTTCTAATCCCCTTCTAGTTAGCATAAACCCTAAATGAACATTTGGGGCGATTCAAGCTTATATTGTATTTTATAACATAATGTGTTATATATTCAAAGTCTTTGTAATGATTTTTTTCTTCATATAGTGTCTTCACAACCATGTCATCTATATATACCTATAAACTCATCCCTATTTAGTATATAAACAATGCAGTCATCAATATTTGATAGGTGGTGTTGGTGGCCTTGAGATCAAAAGGCATTACCTCATAGTAATAGTTGGAATTACTAGTCATGAAAATTATTTTGGTCGCATCCAAATAGTTCACCTTAATCTAATTATAGCATGAGTAAGTGTCCATGAAGTTAATCATTTTGTACACTAATGATTTGTAAATCAACATGTCTATGTTGGGCAATGGATAAGGGTCTTTGGGGCACACTAAATTGAGGTTGGTAAAACCCCCACATTATTTAATTTACAAAGAATTTTTTTCACCATTACCATGATAGCTATCCAAGAGGAGTACTTGATCTCGCTTATGAACCTTGCCTCTTTTATATTTTTCACTTCTTCATCAACAACTATTCTTCTCTCTTCCCCCATCTTTAATCTTTTTTGTATGACTAGCTTGATGGTAACACCTAGGGAAAAACAATGACAAGTGATGTCAGGGTCTACCCCTAGCGTATCTGAGGGGCTTCTGACGAATAAAACTACGCTCTTTTAGAGCAAGCATAACAACTCCTCTTATTCGGCTTCTATTAGAGGGTTCTTAGTAGGGATCAACATATTCTCCAAGTACTCTTATTTTGGGTCGAGGTCTATGAATTTGTTGATG